TGCCAGTAAACATTGCAGCAGGGTTTTTCTCCCCGTTAAAAGGGTTTGTCAGTGCATATCAATTGTTCAAGGATTATTGTGCTCCTATTACTGAATTAAGATTAGTGGTAGTATAGCATTTCCTTCACCACCACAACCTTGCTTCCCAACCCCCCCTCATATGGAAAGGCCTTTAATTTTATCAGTCTAGCCTGATAAGCTTTCTTAATCAAATCTTGTAAACAAAGTGACTGCTTTCACTTTGTAATCTCTTCACTGATATATTGCTAATTGTCTTCAACTAAACTAGACCATATTTTTCTTTGCCTTATATAAAACAAAAGATATATTCTAGTATAAATGTTATAGACAGCACCAGTATGTGGTTTTAAATCTGTATTACGCAAACATTATATCAATAGAATGTTTGTTGTCCTCCCTTTTTAAAATGTAGCAATTTACCTGAAGAAAATTACTTTTAATTTTAAATTGCTTTTTTTAATGATGATGATGATGTTGATGCAGGAACGTTTTCTAGCATGGTACAAGCTTCAATCAGTAAATGCATCTCTTTTGAGTAGCTGCCTTTGTACATAGTACAGCTTACTAAGAGGACCTTGCACTAGAGCTGCTCATTTAAATGTACACCTCTCTATTCCTGACTGGAAGTGCCAGGGCATAAATGGAAGGGGCCACTAGCTGTTGATGAAATCACTTTATTCTCAGTATTATAGGACACAGACCAATTAATACACACAAAACTCTTATTAACTCGATTTCTTTGTCACCTAATACAAAATGTCTCTAGGTGATTTACTTACTTTTCATCGCTAAACTTCATGGTTGTTTAACTGTGTAACAACAGCAGCACCTCCAATACAAGAAAGAAAGAGCAATAAACACAATAATCATATTCCCTCAAATACCTGAGATTATTTTGTTCCCTCCAATTTCTCTTCTCTGGATCTTAACCCTGCTGCAAAAGCCAATAGTACAAATACAGTCATACCTCAGGTTAAAGACGCTTCGGGTTAAATCTTTTCAGGTTGCGTCTCACGGCGACCCGGAAGTACCGGAAAGGGTTACTTCCGGGTTTCGCCGCTCGCATATGCACAGACGCTCAAAATGATGTCATGCGCATGTGCAGAAGCGGCGAATCGCGACCCGCAGACACGGGTTGCATTCTGTTCATGTTGCGAATGGGGCTCCGAAACGGAAGCATCACTGTATTCCCTTTTACACAAGATTTGCCTGGTCCAAACAACACACTTAGCCAAGCGTTGGGTTAGTATGAATATGCAGGCTCCCTGAAAAGAACTCATAGCTGCTTTGTTCCTCCTAATCCCCCCCATCCCCCAGCTGCTGCACCACCAAGCTAAACCAAGGTTTGGTTTAGCATGCCATCCCAACATAGACAATCACAAGAATAAAGTGGGTCCATATAGTCTCTCTCTCTCTTTCTCTCCCCCCCCCCGCCTTATAAGGCATTGTAGGCCAGGGTTCAGCACACAACAAAAACTGTATAATGAAGGTGCCACACATACTTCTGTAGGGAGGGCATTATACAACTTAAGCACTGCCACAGATAATGCCCTTCCCACCAGCTTTTGCTTGGTGGGTGGTGGCAAAGCCTCTCCTTCTTTACTCCCAAGAAGGTCTCTAGGGCAGTCTTTCATATAGTTGGGGTCTGTTTCAACAGCAGCAAAATGATAATAATGATAATAGAAGATTTCAACAAAAGTTTTATGTTTATAGCGCGCGCGCTCTCTCTCTCTCTGAACTTTTAAATAAGTAAAAGTAATGTTGAATTAGAATATGTCTTGGAAGGAAGTGTGCATTTTCAATTTTCCCTTTCTTCTGCTGTTCTCTGGGTCTGTTATGCTCTCAGCCTTCCAGAAGTGACTCACATTTTCAGTGCTGGCTGTCATCCAAGTTGCAGATAAAAGCCCTCCAGCTGGCTATCCATCTTGTTCTACACTTCAGCAAAGGAGTTGCAGTGAAGCGTTGCTGTTGGCAGTACAGAGCAGCTCCTCTAGCAGAGTTATATATAAATATTTTTCACAATTTCTGTAGAGGTTAATGAACAAACGCTAGCACATGCATTTCTTGATAAAGAAGTAGCATTTCTTGATAAAAGTTTATAAGAGTTCTTTGAGACAGAAAGAAATCTATCTTAGTCTTTCTTCAACCTTAGGAGCTATCAATGCTTATCAAACAAAAAATTCTTTTTTTATAATCTTGCCATATAGTTTAAACTCTCAAGGGAACTTTGACCACCATTCTGCATACTCAGATGCTGTATGTACATGTTTAGATCCTCACGACTACTAACATTTCTTTTATATGCTGAAGTCACAAATCATTAGGATCAGTTTTTCTTTCATAAAGGAAAACTGAGCTTGTGTTTGAGCCACATTGAATAACTTTTCTGTAAAGTAGGGCACACTGTTAGCAGAAATACACTAGTACCGTGGCTGTAAGCCAAGACAGTAATTGAAGGTCATGGATTGTTTGCTAAGTGCAGTTCTGTGTGCTGTTTTGGTCCATAGGGGGACTGGCAATGCCAAGAAACAAAGAGAGCTCTGTTTGTTTGTTTTTTTTAAGGTTATGGTATGGATTGCTTGACAGTTAATGCCTGACTGTGAGATGAAGCAAATGGTGGCTTAATGAAATATTATAAATTCTATAACTTTAAATGAAGTTTGTCAAGTGTGAAAGTTTGTATACCTCAATACTTTGTAATGCTGGTTTGTGAAATAAATTGTGATGTACTTTACGCAGTCACTCTCACTCTACATTTACATAGTTGCTCAGTTTTGCCTGCATTTTTTTACTTCAATCAAATTTTTTTTTTACTGCAAAACAGTTGCTGGTGAAGTATTAGAATACAGCAGCCACAATTAAACTCTGTTCAAGTAGCACACATTTACGAGTTTGAACTAGCCTTGCATTTATATTCATGCAGATACAGTATTTTCTTAGGTCTGGTTTACATAAGCATAGAATGAGATGACGAGATCCTGTTGTGGTAGAATATTCTGTATTAAGGAGAATGAACGTAGGGGGCACCATGCTTTCCAGGTTTTGTTTCTTTAATCTTAGTTAAGCGAAAATTAGCACACCCCTTTTTTCAAGAACCCCCTGTTAGCAGCAGTTTGCAACCTTTTAACCACTGTTAGGGCAGTAAGGAAATTTTGCACATTAGAAGTTAGCATGAAACAGCTGTTTGTCCCCATCCCTTAGTTGATAGTTAAGAAACAGGCAATGTTACATCTGCACCAACCCTGTGTCATAGTTTTCTTGAAGAACATAGGTAAAATACTTAAACTATCCAAGTGCTGTTGCTTGTTTAGGTCATTCTAACACAATTTGTTGTGACGCCTTTAAATCACTGTAGTTTACACACCAAGTAGCTAGTGTTTGTAGTAAGGTAAAATGTTAAAAATCCTGTGGATACTCAGAGGGTTCTCCACTTTCTTTCCTACTTTGGGCATGCAGACTGTGATATGAATAGTCAATGGAATTTAGGGTTAACAGCAGCAAACTGCTGAAATGGTTTTGAGGTTGTAGGAAAGGGAGTAAGATGTCTAAGAATTCCCTGATGTGTAAAATTTAGATGGTTGATTCAGAGGAAAAAATGACTCTAGCTTTGATCATGAAAACAAGTCCCTTGAGCTTTAAACAAGACCTATATTTTTAGTAGGACTACTAATGCAACAGATATTAATGTATTGCTTGTTGAATGCTATTAATACATGGATATACAAACTTTGCCTGTCAGTTTTGATTGCGTTTTAATACATGTTTGTCTTGTCATTATAGAGAAATGAAACATTTTGCACAGATATTTTGTGCACCAATGAATTGAAGCGTCAACATCAAGTTGTTGTTGTTGCTGTTGCCACTGCTTATTTATGGTTGTTTAAAATAACTTCCCAGGTTAGAAGTGGAGGGAAAGAAATCAATAAAAATAATTTCTTGTAATAGTAATTTGTTTTAAACAGTTTTCAAGTTGTATTTTAAATTGTGGCACACCCTTGGTCCTTATGGTGAAATAATGTAAGTTAATTTGGAGATTTGTTCCATTATTGCTGGAGAAAATATCAATAGAACAAGTGGTTGGAATGTTTTGCATTTGCCCCAGCATTGTAAGGTAGCCAAATGTGAGCTCAGGACATATGCTTTTTAACCACTGTGTCACATCAGCACATGTTTTATGTGTTTTAAAGGCACATGAAATAATGTTTCTACCAAAATACAGTTAATGGAACCTTAAAACAAAGGATGAATGGAATAAGAATGATGAGTGACTGTGATGTGAGCAAGCTCAGCAGTGTTCACACTCTAAACATACTCCTTGTCTCTAAGCAGGTTTCTTTTGGCTTATATTGCCTTTCAGTTTACCGTAACAAAATTCAGTCTTCCCACCTCTGAAGTGTGTGGATGAATTGTGTGTAACAATTCCTTGTGTATGGTGCAGACAGGTGTATACTTGTGAACATGTATATTTCGTAACATTGGGAGTAGCCTGCTGACGTACTTGCACATTCAATAGAAAGATATATTTCAAAGCTGACCCATGCATGCATTTGCTTACTGATGTTATCAGAATGGGGGAAAAAACACCAGCCCTGTCATTCCCTTGATTACAAAATTCACACATTATTATACTTTATTGCATTTTTGGACCCATCATTCTGCACTAAGGACATCTGAAATGTCATCACTTCTTACAGGCTAAGGCTGTTGAAAGTGATTTTAAGCAAGAATCCTAGATACTGTTTTCAGCCCATTACTGCCTTGACTGCCATACTTCTTCCTTTTTTTCTATTGGTTTTGAGCAAGAAATAATGTTTCAGTACAGATTTTGCTAGCTCCTTTATTCTGAGAAGAACATTCAGCCGCAGAAGGTTCTTGGAGGGATTAGTTTTGTACAGGTTCCATGTAGGGATTGCTAATGTGACTTCATTTAACATAGCTATACTTCAATGCAGCAATTCATCTCTGAGGTTGGGGACAGGGCAGTAGCTCAGTAGGACAGCATCTGCTTTGTGTGCAGAAGGTTGCAGGTTCAAACCCCAGCATCTCCAGGTAGGGCTGAGAGAGATCCTTTCCTGAAATCCTGGAGAGTTTATGCCAGTCACTGCAGACTGAGCTAGATGAACCATTAGTCTGACTCCGTACAGGGCAACTTCCTATATTCCTGTGCCTTACTGTGCTCCACTGCAACTGGGGTGGGGAACCTTTTTGTCCAGGTAGGCCAGATCCTTACCTGCTCCTACCCACACAGGCCAATTTTGATAGGTGGGCAGGACCACCCATCTGTCAATAATCTGACATTATGATGTCAGATGCTTGATGGATAGGTTGTCCCAACAACCAACTGATTTTCAGGCACTTGAGAACTACAGCACAAGGGGCTTTTACCAGCCCTGTGCTTGCCAATTGGGAAGCAAAGAACATAGGGCTGGAAAGCTGCTTCCTACACTGATCAGCTACATGAGTAAGTTTGCCACAGGGAAGTCAAATATGCCGCTAATCCAGCTGAATCTCTCTACCTGTCCTGCACTTGATGACACAACATATCATCTGGTAGGGAGTAGGTTGGTGTGCTTTGGGGGGAAATGGCCTTGTGGGTCAAATTCAGTCCATGAGCTGGAGATTTTCCATTCTGAACTAAGAGTAAAATAGTCTCATTTTGACACAGGATTATCTGGGGTGTAGTGCATCACTCCCTAGCTACATTTTGTATGTGCTAGGTTTGAACATTTTTGCTTGATGTGAACTATTTTGGTTTCTTTTTTAAGCTGCTTGATTTTAATATTACTAATACTCCAGTGTGCCAACTAGTCTCCTTAGAAAAAGGCAATTCTCCCTGGACCCTTTGTTTGAGGTTCTCTTTGGACTTTGCTTACTAGTTTCTGTGGCTTAAAAACATTTAGTCCATTGTTCTTCATTCTAGACTATCTTGACTTTAACATGATATGACTGCTTTCACCTTGGTGACATGCCATTTTTGTACCATCAATTTTTCATTATAGCTTTGAGAAACAAGTCTAAAATAACTTACTTATCTTTCCAGTTAGTTACTACCTCTTAATTTAACAAATTGACCTCCAAAATGTATGTGAGCGTGACTGCTAACTTTTCTTTAGCCTTATTGTTTCCTGGACAGATAACAGAAAAATCATCAGATCTTTCTCTGCATGTTTCCCCAGGTTGATAAATAAAGCAGCCTTCCCTAACCACTGGTGCTTTTCATATATTTTTGACTACATCTCCCATCTATCCAGAGTGGCCAGTGATCAGGGATGGTGGAAGTTGGAACCCAACAACATCTGAAGGGCATTAGGTTGGGAAAGGCTAAAATAATGCTTTGTCAGTATTTTTCTGCTCCCATTGTGAAGGCTAGTGGTAGACATATACCATTATATCCGCTTGTATTTAGTTTGGTAAGCTCAACAGAAGCGCCCCACTAATATCTTCTGACTTGGAATTACTTGCATATACATTTGCTATGTACAGACCAATGCTTCTTTCAGTTTTTATTTTCTTTCTTTCTTTTGAGTAGTCTGTATTTTCCCAGATGTGTTCTGTTTCTTACCATGTCTTATTCCATAATTCCATGTGCCAGGACAGCCAATGAACACTGTTTATTTCATATGGTATTTTAAATGTGTGTATACCAATAGAAGTGTAATGTGCTGTGGTCTAATAATAGTCATGTGCAGCTGCATACTGCTCAAAATGTATGTCTACACCCATAGTTATAAAAGGGAGACTTTTAATATTCCAGTATCCGTAAACGGATTTTTTGAAGGTTTGGTAGATAAAATGCTCACCATCACATGAGTCCCAAAATTTAGCAACATCTATATGCCCCTTAGATCACATGTATTTTGGAGCCATGAGGCATCACAGCATATTACTTGCCTTGACAATCAGTTTGGCCAGCTAAAAGGTTTACACTCTACCTTTTTATTTTAAAGACTTAGAGCATTGTACTTTTATTTAATTCAGTTAAAAAAAATAAATCCCTCCCCCAGTGCAGCAATATTTTCCCTTTGTTTTAATGTGTTTCAGAATGTGTTGAATTTAAAATTGGTTTTATAATTTAAGACGTGGCCCCAACACACAAACATACAGTGGAATAATTGACTTTGTCATCCTTGGCTCCCTGGTATCTGCTAGTTCCTCCAAAGCTACATTAATATAAACAAACCAATGCCAAGTTGTAGGTAGAACAGCTGCATAGAACTCCAGTCCCAATGTTTGTCAAAATTGCATCCTGCTTTTCCTCCAAGGAGCTCAAAGCACCAGTTGGCTGTTGTTGGCATCCGTCTGTCTCAAGAGACAATGGTGTGCACCTCTGGGAGTGAAGTCAAACTGCTGCTGTAATGCAGCTTAAAATGGAGTTTGGTTGTCCCCAAATTACACTACTCTTTATAATGAGACACAAAGAGTTGAGCAGATAACAACACAGTTTAGAGACTTGCACTCTAGTAAAAGTTCAAAACTATGTTGATAGATTATTTGGGCTATAGAACTTCCCCTGTGCGGGGAGGAATCCCTATATACAGTATGCACCATTTCTTGCTGGGCCTGTGATCCTACATGAATTTACCTCAGAACAAGTTTCACTAAAATCTGAGTAAACATACGTTGAATAGTCTGTAAGTAATTCAGGAAAGTGGAAACCCGATACCTGCATTTTCTGTACGGGGATATTAAACTTGAGCTGCCAGTCTCTCCTCTAGTCTGGCTTTGTCTGTAGTTAAAATTATGACCCATGCTCCCTGGCCAGCCCAGCCAAATGAGTAATCAGTAATGTGACTCGTGCTGGAAGTGACTCCATCACCACCTGTGACGGGGGATTAGTTACAGTTCACAGAGCACCGCCTCTTCCCTTCTTTCAACATGTCGTAAGCAGAGGGATAGCTTCTCCTTTCCGTGTCTGCTCGGCTGTAAGGCAGTGTATGTGCAGGCGAAAAAGTATTGTTCCAGACATTTTCTCTCCTATGGACTGCTAGCTGACGGTTCCTTTGTATCTTTGAAGACTGCTTTGTTATGTAAGCGACCTTGGCAGAAATTATCATGACCCAGATCTGGGAACGCAGTAAGTGCTTCAGTTGCAGGATTTCTTAGTCGTTAACACACACATTGCTGATGACAAAGAGAGCTGTAATCTGCTCAGCCAAGCCTAGGTTCTTGGGGTGGGGGAGGTGGGGAGAGACTCTAATTTGTGTAATTGTAAGGTTAGATTTTGTTCCCTGTACATATATTTGTGTTGAATTCTATATTGCGACGAGCACTAGAAATCGCTTGCTTACTTACTGGCTGGCATGTCTTGTGAAAATTTTAAATATTAATGAAAGGTACTTTGAAGTAAAATAAGGTTAGCGTTGTAGCTCTCCATATATTATGAATGATTTCTAAATCTTGCCTTATATTAATAAAAGCTACTTAAAAGTTCTGTCAACAGTGTATGCCTTTGGATATTTAAAGAAGAATATAGCAAAAATGTGTCAAACCTCATTCCCTGCTTCCTCATCTTTTAAAAACTTGTAATTATTTTGTTTCCAGTGATTTCAACATTTGATAGGATACAAATCTAGGATCTAAACCTTGTTTGCTAGCTTTCTCAAGTGCCTAAATTATTCTTAATTTGAATTCTAGCAAGTTTGAATAAGAAATGTATTTAAAAAACTGTAGTAAATATCTACTTGAATTACAGAACATCACAAAATAATTAAGAACAGTTCTAAGATTATTTCTGAAAGGACTGGTAGACGACACAGAATGATACAACACTCCTGCAATTAAGTAAATATATTTCCTGCTGCAGACAGGAAATCAAAATGGGAGAGAGAGAGAGAGAGAGAGAGAGAGAGAGTGTCAGGAGTTGGGAGTGGAGAGACTGAGCAGCTGAATTCTGTGTTAGGAACTCTTGCTTTTTTAAAGTCTTTCAGAGAAGTATCGGCTGGTCTGTTTTTTCTCATATGAATGGAATTTAGTTCTGCATGGAGACCCAAACAAGACTGTTGTTCTGAGTGTTAGTATAAAAAGGAGGTTGTAATAGTAATACAGATAGCTTCATCCTACTAGCAGAAATTTCCTTTCTCTCGCTTCCCCTTTATTATTACTTTTGCAAAGATAGTTGGTTCTAAATTGTCCCTTGTTTTTAACATGACATTTTGCAGTAGGGCTAAAAATAGTCTGTAGCCCAATCTGGTTCACAGTATCTTTGACAACAGCTTCCTAAGGCAATGAAAGTAACTTGTAGAATGATAGATGTGTGTTTTTATTAATATCATTTTATTGATTTAAAGAATCCAGAGACAGAAGAAGCAAAAATATAAATTTATGGTAGACCTGTATAGGTCATTATTTACTTGGGTTCACAGAGGTCTGTTTCTTTTAATGCAGCATGCATCATAGGTGAAAAATGAGCATATGGGGTGCCACTTAAAACATGTGGCCTATTCCGATCCTGAATTGGAAAAGGAGGTACTGTATAGCTACTACATAAAATCCATGCTAACAGTATGCCATAACCTTTACATATAAAGTGATACATGTGTTTTGATTTATTTCTGTTTTTATAGTTAAGCCAGTTCATAAACAACCATGGTTTCCCCACGTATACATTGAATGTATGAAAATGCACCCTAAAAACTAGGGCAAAGAGGAGCAAGCTTGGGCATGATTGTTTTGGTAATTACACCTAAACATCCCATAAATTTAATTTCTACTTTAGCCAGCACTACTAGTTGCTTAACATTACTCTCAGAACCCTTTGACCTTTGCAAGGAAAGGAGGGTGAGGGAGGTCACATCTTCTAAAGAATGTGTTTTTCACATTAGTAAATGACTTAAATCTCATGGGAAAGGCAAACCACCTGATTAGCTTGAGTAATATTCTCATATTATTAAAATGAACTGCCTGAGTTTCCTGTCAGTTTTATACCTTGTACACCTCCCATTTCTAAAAAATGCTACCTACAGATTTAATGGTTAAATATTATTAGATACCGTATTTTTCGCTCTATAAGACGCACCAGACCACAAGATGCACCTAGTTTTTGGAGGAG